AATGGCGGTTAATACGTCATGGATGCCCGTGGCAGAATGTTAAAGCTGTGATGTGTATGATAATGTTTATATTTTTTGGAGAAATGACAAGTACTTTACTAACGATTTTGATATATTATATTTTGACTTACTCCCATACAAACTGCACAAACAGAATACGTATAAAGAACAACAGCAATCCTGCGCCTGTTCTGGGTTCTGATCCGTTGCGCGCACATGAGGAAATAATTGGGAATATAGCCTCGGATAGCATCCTTGTAAGAAATTGGTAATTAAAAAAATAAATTTTTACTTACAGACGGAGTTTTATGTTTTTTTCCAGGCGCAGCGGCTTGAGATATAAAATATTAACAAAGATTATTATGCTGATTGTCAGATTGATTCTGATGACGGACATAGTCATTCATTTTTATATTACACAACAACGAAATCCTCCACTGAAATATTCCGCGGACAACTTTAAGTGGTTTTATCAACGTTGTTGTACATATTTGGTGTATTGTTACATGTCCCCGGGTGAATATGTGCATACTGTCATTGCATTGATATGTTTGAGGCTGGTGAATAGTTTTAACATACTTCAAACAGTTTGAATAGTATCTATTTACAATACATTAAACGCACAGAAACATATACCTGTACATCTCCCTTTCCTTAACATGCAATTGAAGTGAACATTTCATGGACCATGTATGTTGTAATAACGATTAGTAACCAGAACTCATATGTTTATTTGTTTGTTTGTTTGTTTGTTTGTTTGTTTGTTTGTCAACAATATTCCAGATATAGATGGCGCTCCGTAAATAATTGAGTCTGGACAAGACAATGGTGTGATTGACATTGTGGGTATCGATCTACGATGGCATGCATATATAAACAGCGCAGTAAAGTTCTTACTCTCAGGCACAATATAGTAATGATTAAATAAGTGGAGTAAGATTAAACACAGTTTAAATTTAATTGGCTAACTGAATGTTATGGCCTGATGAGACTCGTATGTGGTACGAGTTGAAAGCGCTAGCCAATTTAAACTGTGTTCAATCTTACTCCACTTTATTATTATTATTATTATTATTATTATTATTATTATTATTATTATTATTATTATTATTATTATTATTATATATCCAGTCAGCATGCTTTGTGACCACATCGAAGAAATCTACTCAACACAACTAAGAACGAGAAAGAAGCTCCATAAAAATCCTACAATAACAGGAATATTGCTGCATCGAGCAAATGTACCTCCAAAGAATTGTCTCAAAGATAAACCATGATCCTTAATGCAATGACGGAAGGGTTTTGTCTACATTCACATAAGGTATTTTAGACAAATGGAATTAACATCGTATTGATTCTCAACAAACAAAGGATTTGCTTGAATTTTTTTGCAATCTCTTAAAAGAACAAAGTTCAATTGTATCAAAACATCATATTTTTCAACTTTGTTCACCACTATCCCAAATGTCAGTTAAGGAAAACTGTCAAATTTGGGGATGAGACATATAGGCAAGACACAGATATCCCCTTGGGCAGCAATGCCGCTTCACTTCCTGTTTGTCTGCAACTTTATGGTATCGGTCAGGGGCGGTCGGGTAGCCTAGTGGTTAAAGCGTTCGCTCGTCACGGGTTCGAATCCCGACATGGGTACAATGTGTGAAGCCCATTTCTGGTGTCCCCAGCCGTGATATTGCTGGAATATTGCTAAAAGCGTCGTAAAACCATACTCACTCACTCACTAACTCTTTTGAGCTATTAGGTGGACTCACTCACTATGGTATCGGTCAAAGCTTGTGCTCGGTTTGGAAGACTCGGGAAGAGGCAGTTTGGCAAAGAAGTTGATCTGAAGCGTCAGTTGCATCGGTGATCTGATATCGTTGAATAACGGTTGGAAAGCCGATTCCCTCCACTGATTTACCAATTTGAACTCGAAATAAAAGACACCAGTGACCTGTTTTTTAGATCTATGAATAAAGATGTGTTAAAACACTTCGACATTCCTGTTAATCATTAGGCTTGTTCACGAACATTACGGGGTAGTCGGGTAGCCTAGTGGTTAAAGCGTTCGCTCGTCACGCCGAAGACCCGAGTTCGATTACCGACATGGGTACAGTGTGTGAAGCCCATTTCTGGTGTCCCCCGCCGTGATTTTGCTGGAATATAGCTAAATGCGGCGTAAAACCATACTCACTCGCTCACTCACTCACTCGTTGTACGATTTTGACTATATCATAAGCTGCGGCTTGTAAATATAAAGTTTGGAGTAGCAAACCAGTGACGGAAAGCAAGAACAACGATGCATCCCACAGGGTTAGGATACCACGCAATCAGCCACTTCTCACAACCTGACCATCTAATCCCTATACTAGTCGGTCCTGATGGCAAGCATGGTACCATCCAATCCCAACATTAGTCGGTCCTGATGGCAAGTACGCGACACCGGGGATCTAGTCCAACCGGATTTTAACCTTAGGAAGGTTCTTATTCGTAATAGAATGTAATGTGGTTTCCCGATTGAAATGTTCGACATATTTCTCGTGTAATAATACTGTCTGTCTTGAATGAACCATATGTACAGCATTATTATCTAACTGTTGAGTACACTGGTCTGAGCGAGGGCGAATCTCCACGCCCACAGCACAATCTGCTATCAGCTGTTGTACAGCTTCCGATGTGGCACAAATCAATACATCATGCACACGTCATCATCTCCATCAAAAATGAAAAACTTAAACATTCATATGATTAAAGCGGTAATAGGGCGTACAATCAATTTATAAACATTTTTTGTTATTTATTAATTAATGTGTTGGGTTCTTCTCTGCGATGAACGTACAATGGTTACACGTCACGTGACCACTCAGCCTTCAGAAATGTCAGCAGAGATAATGATGTGGAAACAAATAAATTGTATTTGTAAGCTGTGACATCTTTAGTGTTTCACTGTTTGAGATTAATGTACATTTAACAACAATCATACGCACAGCAAATAGCTTGGCGGTCTGTATATAAGGCAGTTCGTCGATCTCTAATAAAGGACGTACAACACCCAAGTCAACAATTTGAGGTATGTTAAACCATTGTAATATGTATAATATAAAGACTAAATGTATATTCCTATATGTATAAGGATACACAAGGTTAAAGCTTAAAGCATGTACCCGTTGATAGACTTCTGTTTCTACTCCCATCCTAAGGTCTTGTCTCCAAACCATTTGTATGTGTGTTATGCCTGCATGCAGCATAGGAAATACAAGACCTTCACTCTGTTGCACACGGAGTAATGTAGACCGATAAGCACAATTTGATTCACGATGAATAAACATAGGCTGCGAATTTATAAATAATTTCATGACATGTAGAGAATATTATTCCTCATTCTAAAGTATGTAGAGGAACTGTGTTTTATACATTAGGTTGGTTGGTTGGTTTGTTGTTTAACGTCGCATTCAGCAATATTCCAGCTATATGACGACGGTTTGAAAATAATCGAGTCTGGACCAGACAATCCAGTGATTGATATCATGAGCATCGATCCACGCAATTGGGATCGATGACATGCATCAACCATGTCAGCGAGCCTGACCACCCGATCCTGTTAGTCGCCTTTTACGACAAGCATAGTCGCCTTTTACGGAAAGCATGGGTTGCTGAAGACCTAGTCTACCCCGGAATCTATACATCAGGAGTGCATCGTTTAAGGTATTACAGGGTTATCTTAAATTAAAGCAATTTGTAATTTAATGTAAATATGCCAATCTGGGCGTAAGGTAAAAAAGCAGGGAACACTATATCACTGGATCACTGAAATCAGTGATGACACCAGGTGTTCGTTAAAAGGGCACGCATGCTATGCCCTACCGCTACCATTCGCAACTCACATAATTTCACATAAGTCTGTATGTCCGGCCTCATACCACACGGCACTACTCATGCCGTTCGGAGAGGAAGTACAAGAACCGCCGATAATTGCCTTTAAGTATTTATTAGACTTACAACAATTCAAACAATATTTTGTCTTCACGAATGCATATTGATTGGGCAATGAACCTTACAACGTTTCAGACGTAGATCCATGGAATTCTGACTTCACAGAAGTATCAAATTACAAGCATTGTGTCTAGATATTAGCATTAAATTTTGTGCAATGTCGAAACCTTTGTTCGGCTCTAGACCATTCCTCAAAATGATCAATAAAACAAATATGAAGCTATATAACAAACCGAACTAACAAACAAGTGTATTTACAATTATGTTGATATTATGTCCGGCCTCATACCACATAACACTACTCATGCCATGCGGAGAGGAAGTACAAGAACCGCCGATAATTCCCTTTAAGTATTTATTGGACTTACAACAATTCAAACAATATTTTGTCTTCACGAATGCATTGATTAGGCATTAATGCATATATCATGACATGACTGTGGAATATACAGCATAATCTAACAAACATGCAGCAAAGCGAGGATTGAAGTCCAGTGAACCTTCCAACGTTTCAGACGTAGATCAATGGAATTCTGACTTCACAGAAATATCAAATTACAAGCATTGTGTCTAGCGATTAGCATTTGTGCATTGTCGAAACCTTTGTTCGGCTCCTAATCTCTAGACCATTCCTTAAAATGATCAATAAAACAAATATGAAGCTATATAACAAACCGAACTAACAAACAAGTGTATTTACAATTATGTTGATATTATGTCATTTACAGGGAATCCGTGAATGTGTCTATTGGAGAAATCATGACCCGTTTACAAAATTAAATCAACAAAATAGTGCAAAACCTGCATGAACGAGTATCCATGTAATGGTATGTTTGAATTATCTTATGTTGAACACAACTCACAAAATTATCATTTATGCATTATTATTTAATTATTTTATTTTATAGAATGGCGTTTGTAGAACCTTTCCGTATCAAGATTGTGGAACCCTTACCAAACACCACCAGGGACGAGAGATTGAGTCTAATGCTGGACACCGGTTACAACCCTTTCCAGGTTCCAGATCGAATGGTCACACTTGATCTTTGGACGGATTCCGGGGCTTCAGCAATGAGCAATCAGCAGTGGGCCGCCATGATCGAATCCCAAGAGGGGTCTTTTGTTCCTGACAGTTATGTGAAGTTAAAACAAACCATTCAATCTTTAACAGGCTTCCCTTATATCCTCCCTGTAAACCAGGGTAGGGTAGCGGAACACGCCCTCTTCTCAATTCTCGTTAAACCCGGGTTTACAGTCTTTAGTAACACATTTTATTCTACCACTAAAACAAATGCTGAACTTGTTAACGCTAAAACTACCCAACTTCCTTGCACGTTTGTCGATGGTGGGCTCTTTAATGGTAATATTGACTGTGAGAAACTGGAAGAAGAATTGGCTCGGGTAGAGTTAGGCAATGGTATGGTTGTCTTGACCTTGACCAGCAATAATCAGGCAGGACAACCAATATCTATGGCAAACATGAAGCGAGCATCTGAGATCTGCCATGACAAGGGTATTCGAGTGTTCATGGACGGATGTCGCTTTGCGGAAAATGCCTACTTCATCAAAATAAGAGACAAGACGTATGCTAACAGTTCAGCCAGAGACATTGCTCTTGAGATGTTCTCCTATTTCGACGGTTTTTACCTGTCCGCTAAGAAGGATGGCTTGTGCAACATTGGTGGCCTTATAGCAGTTAGAGACGGGGACCTCTTCGCCACAATTAGGGGCCAGTTAAACCGAACAGTTGGGAAATGGAGACTGGGTGGAATGGCCACCCGAGATCTTGATGCTATTGCGATAGGATTGTTGGAAGGGATTGAAGATAGCTATCTGAAGTATCGAATTGAAACACTGACACAGTTTGGAGATTTACTGAAGAAAGCTGGCGTGTCTATTGTGGAACCGGTCGGGAGTGCACTTTACATCAACGCAGCTAAATGTTTGCCTCATATTCCAACACACCAGTATCCGGCGTGGGCTCTCAACTGTGCTCTGTTTGTTGAAGGAGGCATCCGTGGAGCCCATGGTCCAAATGTGTTGGATGTCGATGACAGAAATGACCGTGAAAGTCATCAACATTTCGTAAAACTCTGCATCCCAAGGAGAGCCTACACCTTGTCACACCTGCTTTTTATAGCAGATATATTCAAGCAAATTATAGCGAAAAAGGAGAGAGTGTCTGGAATGAGAATTGTTGGAAATGGGCATTATTACAAGGTTAAGACGGCGCCTGTGGAAGCAGTATTGATTAACGTGTAAACCTTATGTGAAGCACCAGTTGTTCTTTATTTATTGAACTGCTAATATAGAAAGTTGTGGCATGTGGCTTTGAAGGGAATGAGTGTGTGAGTAGTTGGGTAGAACGCAGTTTTAAACTCTGAAGATCAGTAAAGCAGTTTTATGTTACTTCAGCAGAGGCCTATCATTTAGTATTCAATTGGGTTGGGGGAAGTAGGGTAGGGGATGGGGGTAGAGGGTCACTTTTATTTCAGACGGACACTCGATTGTTTGTTTCCGGAAGAAGGATCTAAACAGGGTTGGAGTTTTAACGATTACACATTATTGTTTTGAAACATCCACCATGTCCTGCGAATGGTGTTATTTGCTTTGGCTTTTTGTAATACCAAAACAGAATTGTTTTTCTATTCCGGGAACAGAAAAATGTTTTTCAATAAAATCCCAGCTGAGCGTTTATACCTTTGATGATAATGGCACGGGAATAGTGACAGGCAATTGATGACATGAATGGTGACACATGGATTCGAACTTCAGAGCCTCCGATGTCCCATCTGTTGATGAACCACCCTATGCAATGTGTCAATAAGATTTGTTAGTTTGTTTGTTGTTTAACGCCGCACTCAGCAATATTCCAGCTATATGACGGCAGTCTGAAAAATAATCGAGTCTGGACCAGATGATGAAGTGATTGATTTCTTGAGCATCGATCTACGCAATTGGGATGCGATGACATGCATTAACCAAGTCAGCGAGCTTGACCACCCGATCCTGTAGTCGCCTCTTACGACAAGCATGGGTTGCTATTCTACCCCGAATCTTCAACTTGTTAATAAGAAGGCGAGGAAGAATTTCAACACTTTTGTTTCACACACTTGTCAAGATGCTCATGGGGGAATGACGAACCCAGTTGACAGGGTACAGGTTAAAGCGCCGTTACACCAAACTCACACACTCTTGTTCTGCAGTTGATGGAGTGATCCATGGATTTTATGGTATCTTGCATTGACTGTATGGTATGGTTATGGCTTTGACGTTGTAGTATGTAATATTATGATATATCCACGCACATCTGGCACTACGGTGTATCCCGTATTTGCTTTGTTAATAACGATAGATTCAAAACAAACTCATTAAAAGTTTTATTTATTTATTTTGATTCACGTCTGGGAATATATACTGGCTATGTGTTTGTAACATTTTATGTGAATAAATTCGATATAAATTGCTACTTTAGGTTTTGTCTGCATAAGGTCAACTTGACCTGAAGGTCTACACACTATTCATTCTATTCAAAAACTTGCTTCATTATTAGTGAGGGAGTGAATGTTCTAATATTCCAGATATATCACTAAGGACTGAAGTTAGTCTAATCTGGTTGGACGCATCAACAACAATCAACGACACTCAAATCAGCCACGCCCCAAAGACTGACCTCAAATGCCGATCTTAGTCCACATATATGAGGTACTGAAACATACTCTGACCCCGATTACCCATCTGAGTCGAAATATAGAAGGTACTGAAACTTACTCTGCCCCCAAATGCCCATTTTAGTCGAACATATAGGAGGCACTGAAACATATTCTGCCCCCAAACACCAATCTTAGTCGACATATAGGAGGTACTGAAACATAATCTGTCCCAAAATACCCATCCTAGTCGACATATAGAATATACTGAAACCTACTCTGCCTCAAAATACCTATCTTAGTCGACATATAGGAGGTACTGAAACATACTCTGACCCAAAATACCCATCTCAGTCGACATATAGAATATAGTGAAACATACTCTGCCTCAAAATACCTATCTTAGTCGACATAAAGGAGGTACTGAAACATACTCTGAACCCAAATACAGATCTAAGTCGACATATAGATTACATACTGAAACATACTCTGCCTCAAAATACCTATCTTAGTCGAAATATAGAAGGTACTGAAACTAATTCTGCCCCCAAATGCCCATTTTAGTCGAACATATAGGAGGCACTGAAACATACACTGACCCAAAATACCCATCTAAGTCGACATATAGAATATAGTGAAACATACTCTGCCTCAAAATACCTATCTTAGTCGACATAAAGGAGGTACTGAAACATACTCTGAACCCAAATACAGATCTTAGTCGACATATAGATTATATACTGAAACATACTCTGCCTCAAAATACCTATCTTAGTCGACATATAGGAGGTACCGAAACATACTCTGCCTCAAAATACCTATCTTAGTCGACATATAGGAGGTACTGAAACATACTCTGAACCCAAATACAGATCTTAGTCGACATATAGAAGGTACTGAGACATACTCTGTCCCTGAAATGCCCATCTAAGTCGACATATAGGAGGTACTGAAACATACTCTGCCCCCGACTGTCCATCTGAGTCGACATATAGGAGGTAGTGAATCATCAAGTATATATTTCCCGGGACGCGCAAATCAGAACACACTATCATTGTGTTTGAAAAACACTCTCACTGAAAAGGATATATTTGTTATTAATAGGAACATGTGGAAGATATGATCATGCAGTTCTACGACCTGAAAAAATGTATTCTATGTCCTAATTGCTATAGCATAGGAGGTACAATATTTACACAATCTGTTTTCCCTTGATGTCGCTAAATGTCAACCTTTTTCTATCAGAAGGTCATAAGAACTACATCTGAAACGGGATAGTGCTGCTCGAAATTTCTTAACATTTATGTCCAAAAGATATTTTGCAATAAGAATGAACTATTTTAAACAGGAGTATTGATTTAACTTATTGTGAAAAGATAGTGAACTTTTGAAAATACATATCTTTTAGCCTTTGTCTTAAATTACATATGAAACGATCTGGTACTGTCACATGTTGCTCTCTCCAAATGTTATCATACCAGCAAAATTGGAGTATCGTTTTAACACCCGAGGCCAAGTTATTTTATCATCCAAAACTGGCACTCACGGGAGATATCGCTTGGGTGAGATCAAGCGATATCTACATCGCGAAAAGGTGAGCGTATCTTGTCCTACCTGTGGCACTCGTTGCAAACACATGTAAAGACAACTCAATTGTTCACCTTAAAAAAATAAACACACGAACATATGGCACAAGTAAAAATATGGAATTGCATCGGACATCATTTTAGTCACATCTTTGCAAATGTCATCCTCATTTCAACCATAAAACGTTTCGAAAGCTTAACAGAAGCCTTGGCTGGTGTAACATTGATCTAGCAGTTTCCAAGCAAGAGTCATATGACGCTCTTTGAAATCTTTGCGGAAAGATGCATGTTCGATTGCACTTCAAACATTCTGACATATATATATATCCTTTGAAGAATCGTAAAATATAGATAATGACAAAAATATAAAAATCGTAAATTGGTTAATTTAAAAAATCATATTTTGTAATTAAAAGTAAATGTTTTTCTGAAGGAAAACCATCACATTATATTTTTTATTAATATAAACACAAGTGTTGATGAAACGACGTGTTTTACATTTGTATTTTATCGTTTGATTGTCTGAAGGTTGCACCAGGCACGCAATTATTTTTTTATGATCCATGGGTGGAGGCGGGTGTCTGTTTTGGTCAGGGCCTGTTTGTGGGCTGTTCTATTGATAAAGGCTACCATTCTGGGCCTAGATTTTCGAAACGATCGTAGCCCTAAAATTATCGTAAAGTTATCGTAAGGAAATCGTAGGCTATCGTAGCCTATTTTCGAAACTATCGTAGCCCTAAGATATCTTAAGTTTGTCGTAAATCTAAGATAGCTCTATACCTGTCGTAAGTTTATTTTATCTTCATCCAAGATGGCGGCATACTTTTCCATAGATATTGTGCCAAACAACTAGTCCGCTTTACGTTCAAACATTGACATTTAATTTTGTAAAACTGAGTGATTCAAATTGACAATTCGAAAACACGAAGAAGGCATCAAGGATTTCACGTCAAAAATGTTCTTAATCACGACAGCGATACACATAACTGTGGAGTCGATAGCTTACATTATTTGTCTATCCAAGTCCATGCTGAAGAAGTGTGAAACAACATACCTTTTCGATAATTTGGGAAGGATAAAAACGGAAGGCTACAGTAATGACCGTGACCTTATTGATAGTTTAGGGGGAGCTAATCTTAGTTCAAAGTCTAGTTGAGAGTGGTTTCCCTTTGTATTCGCCCGGGACACCTTGCTCAATGGTACAGTTTTCATAAACCGCAGAGTTCCGCTGTTATATTTTCTGAGTCGCATTTGAGTCAATGCTTTAGTCTTTATTTTCGCATTTTATAAAATTATATCAATCTACATATGTAAAAACAACCATAAAGGTTTCGCATACGTTTTTACATCTAAAATCGTGTGGGACGGGTGGTTTTAATAATTGAATTTTAACTATACAGTGTAGTATTTATTGACTTAACAAGGAAATACATGTGATCAAATATTTGTATACAATATCTAATATTTTTCTTGCAAAAGTAATTGTAATTTGTTTCGTTTTAAATTCAATACCTACGTTATCTATATCCTCTTGAAAGACAAATATTCGATAAAAAGTGATTAAAAACTGTCTGTTGAATAATTGCATTCTTTAAAAGCAGGTGATTAACGGCATATAGATGTATTCCCTAATAAATATAACAATTTACTGAAATTTTGACAGCAAAAGTTAAGCACAGATTTTTGTATCGACAAATCAAATAAAAAATGAGTTCCCATGCTCGTTCTGGTTCTCGTCAAAATGTAGCATAGATTGCACATTGTCCAAAATTCACATTCAAGTATATGTTCGCAGGAAAAAAGTTTATTGAATGAAATTTACTGATCAACATAAAATACACATTTTCAACACAATAATCTTTGCATTCAATAAACCGGTTTTAAAATATTTTGGTCTTTTTAATATTTAAGTCTACATCTTCCCGTTTTATGTTTTACAAAAATATAGATATCCTTGAGACCATTCAGACAATAAAATCGTTGTAACGTATAGGGTCAACGGACAAATACTAGTAAACGATCCTCAGCAATTCTGTCAGACAAGCCAAACATCATTGAACTACGTTCTGGAATAGATTTGACACATTACAAAGTATTTCGCTCCTCAGCCAGATTTAAATGAAATCAGACAAATCAGTTTATTAGCTCTACTTAATTTAAAGGATAGAAAATGACTACATTATATGTATGTTCACGTTA